TTGGGGAAAGGCATCTACGTCTAGAGCCATCAAAACAAAACAAGAACGGAAAATGCGCGAAAGGGCATCCACATCTGATCCAAGAAACACCAACAGGGGGCAATGGACATCCTTTGCACAGACGTGTCGATGCAACGCAGCAGCGCCATCTAGCGGTACCGAGCGACGAGCCTGGGTGCCAAATGCAGTCGCGCAGGCAATGGCACCCCAAAGTAGGGAAACATCGCGACGGACGGATATCAAAAGGCCAAAGAAATCCGCAGACGCACGATATCCGGCCTATATAAGGCAAGCCGCAACACGCCATTCCTGTTTTTTGGGGCGACCGTTCAGACCAATGAGGCGGCGCCCTGTTTTTTGTGGTTATTTGAGTGCCGAGACCTACAATTAGAAAAAAAATGTGTTGAAAAGATAAGGACGTGTATCCACGAGAATATATGTAGAAATCAGAAGCAGTTCCAATCAAAAAGCCAAAGAAATCACAGTAAGCGGCAGCGCTAGCTACATCGTAGTAGCGGCCCCACCATCACCAACAGCAGCGTACGGAAGCCGACAGCGTGCCAAAGCCAGCAGCTTAGTAGCAACGGCAGCACCAGCAGCACCGTCATCAGCCACAGCAGAATCAGCCGCAGCGCAACAGCACGAGCAGCACAAAGCGCACCGGCGACACCATCGGCAGCCCGTACCAGCGTCGGCTAGGGCTGCATCATCAGCAGCACCGTCATTAGCCGCAGAAGCAGCAGCAGGGCAACAGCAACCAGGATAGCAGCAGGAGATAGAAAAGCCGGTGAGTCCGTTCCTTGGCCACGCGCCGTGCCTGTTGTTTGCGTTTGAGCTGCAACAATCAGGCAGATATCCCACGCGCCTGTCGTCCTGTTATTTTTATGTGAGCTGCATCTGGAAGGTCCCACGCGCCGCACCAAATCGTTGTCTGCAGAAAAAAAAAGAAGAAAAAAATAACATTTATATCTTTTAATTGAAATAAACACAAGAAGAGTGTGCACCAAGCTCTGTTTTGGTGCATCCATTTAATAAAAAAATATATACACATAGAAAGCACACTTAGATATTTAAGTAACAATTCAACAACTTCATAAAGATGTAAAGGAAGATTGACAATTGCAGTAGCGCGCAGTCATTTATATATTTTTTGTTTGAAATATTTATATTATTTTTATCGCACATATTTTCACATACACCTATATGCATATACATATATATATGTATATATTTATTTACCATATACATACATGTTGACGCACATAAAGTACCGCATTGGCCGTTGGCAAACATTCTTTGTTTCGCTGTTTACATTTTTTATTTCACACTCAATCGCATTAAAAAATATGTACATATGTATGTCTGTAGCCACGTAATTGAAAATTAATTCTTTTTTTATGGCCGCACTGTCCATAATGACACACTAAATCAGAATCAGTAGGGGCATGAGGCTCACCTGAGGCATGTCTTGGCAAATCTTGCCTTTGAATACAGGCGTGGGTACGCCTGGGATATCAACAGCTGCATCCCATATAATTGTCCGATGCCACCATTTCTGTCCGTCTGCAGATATGTAGGTCCTTTTTTTGTGACGTCCATATCCGTTTACTTTTTCCCGCATTACGTGATTTTATTTGATTTTAGTTATTTTGGGTTTGTTTACGTTTGAATTAATTTTTGTATATCGCGCGTCGAATTAATTGTAGTGATGGCGTTTTGTTTTTGCGACTCACGCGGGCATAGGGTTGGAACCACACACCCAAGGAGAAGTCCGATGAGCCAGCCGACGTTGCCCAAAGGGAAAAAGCGTCGTCGTAACAGTTTGAAATGTTTCCGTTTATATTGAAATTGAATGAGAAAAATACAAAATAACGGAAACTATTTTTATTGTTGTTCAACAAGGCGATCTGATATTATTAGTTCATTTTAAAATGCTTGCATGTCCAGATATTATTAGTTCATTTTAAAATGCTTGCATGTGCACGCCGGGCATTTTCGCTCAAATAAAAATGGGTGTATGGTTATATGTATGTACTAGCAGGTCTTGCCCGTCTTTGCTGGGCTAAGTAAAATGTGCTTAAAATTATAAGTTTAATTACTATGTGATATTCCTCTTTCGACGCTCTCTAATGTTTTTTAAAGAGTTCATTTTCCAAATAGCAAATATAGTTCAATAAGTACTATGTATGGTTATACGTACATACATACATAAGTACATATCTTCGTTACGCAACGGACGGGCTGCCAGACCTGACTTAACTGTGTGCTTCCTCAGCACGTTGTACGCACGGTCGAGTTATCCCCGAAAAGTCCGAAAAAGTTTGCAATGAAAGGATACTTGAGTCCAAATTTCATCTTCTACCGTTTGGGCTGTGCGTTGATCACCAATTAGTCAGCACAAACTGTTTTATATATAGAGATACCGCAACTTTTTAAGATGGACTATGTGCAAAAAAGGGGAATAATTATAATGGAATATCCTAATTTTAAATTCACATTTGAGTCTTTTCGTGCCATATTGAGTCAATACGGTCGCGCACAAACTCGGAATATGAAACACGGCACTCGTGTCAATGCCGTGCAGCGATGAGCCACGATCAAAAAGCACTGACAATTCTCATCTCAATTTGCTAGAGTAAAACTTTCGATAGTTGAAGCCACCGATACCATCAAAATATCGAAGTTTGAATGCAATAAGCAGAATATTTAAATAATAAAATCTAATTATTTATTGAGATCAATAAGAACAAATCATATACATACATACATCTGCCCGCAATGCGAAGCAGAATATGCGTAGCTCCGTTATTCGGTTTCTGCTTTACTATCGCTTACGCAGTCGTTGCCTAGCGACGGTAACTGTTAACTTTTGGCGTTTTGCCTTTGCAATTAACATTAAATGGTCACAACGAAAGAAGAAGAGCGAGCCAATGACTTGCAGTTGTTGTTGTTGTTTTGTATGTACATGCTACATACATATACAGGCATACACACATATGCATGTACATATGTATGTGTGCATGGGCACACATAGACACGAACTGTTGCTTGTTGCATGTATGTGTGAGTGTGTGTATGTGATGCCCCCAACTATTTGATATTTGATATATGGCAAGAAAAAAACATATTGCTATATTTTAATAGTTGAATGCCAATTTGATGATATAGTTATGTTGATTACATTACCCAAATTTGAAATCGATCGGACAAAACTTATAACACAAACTATTCATTTGAAAAAGTGAATAAATATTAAAACCCCAATAATAAAATTAAATGCGATATATCGAAAATATCGATACTTGTGTTGATATACATGTCGAATACAAATACATCGAAAAACATCGTTTGAGAGTTATTGATTATAATACTGTATTCGATTGTTCACTGTACACATACATACATACATACAAATGTATTTGTATGTGTACTGTAACTGTAAACTTTTGGCATTTTGCGTATGCAATTAACAGACGTAAATGATCAAAACGAAATAAGATTTGCGAGCCAATAACTTGTTGTTGTTGTTGTTTTAAAAATTTTGATTTGAAAACATAGAACACTATTTATTATAATTAAACAACGGATGGCCCACTGCATACATACAAACCTATATATGTATGTATATAGGAATTTATGAACGTACATACATATTTATTGATGCACATACATATGTACATACTATACATACAGACGTATGTACATATGTATGTACGTATGTAAACCATATGGTGCTGGTGTAATTCATAAAGCGAAATTCTTTCTAAGGGGAGCAATGTCCCCCCTGCCCAACCTGCGTACGCCCTTGTAGTCCGTTGTCCTAAAAACCCCTTATGCCAAATGTACTAAACAAAGAAAAAATAACAAAAATGTTTATGTTATAATGTTAACAATTTTTAATTAATTAACATTTCTTGCCCTGTCAGTGCAAGACGAATGTACTTTTATACATATGTATGTATGTATGTACATACATGTGTACAAATGAACATTCACACATTAGTGTCTCACATTTTGCTTTGGCTACTTCAACCGTTTGCATGCAACTACATGAACAGCTGCTTGTATGTATGTTTGTGTGTGTGTGTGTATATATACATAGTTGTCCCCAACTGTTTGATATTTTGTATTGTTTGTTCTGCCTGCATTTGTAAAATGCATATTTTAAAAATCGTTAAATGCAAAGTTTTAATTTTAGTTACGTAGATTATATTACCCAAATTTGAAATCGATCGGACAAAATTTATAACACAAACTTTTCATTTGAAATAGTGAATAAATATTAAAACCCCAATAATTCAAGCTCTAACACAAATTTAAAGTTGATCGATTCAGAAATGCAGAATTTTCAAACAAACTTTGGAGCTACTTTTCCCCCCTTTGGAGCTCGAATTTTCCAAAATCCCTTCTTAGTGCGCATCTACACCATGATAGGATAATTGAGTCCAAATTTCAGTTTCCTAGCTTTTACCGTTTGGGCTGTGGGGTGTTGATTGTGTTTCAATTTTTCCACGGAAACCCCCCCCCCCCCCTTTTTCATGCCCCAGGAAAAATGGTGAAAAACCAAGTATACAGTTTTTCTTGTATTCTTTTTGAGAGTATACAAACTAACTTGAAGTTAATTAATTGCAGCCCGTTTTCCCCCCTTTGGCGTTCGAATTTTCCAAAACCGCTTCTTAGTGCTCACTTTCACTATAAGAGGGATCTTGTGTCCAAATTTCAGCTTCCTAGCTCTTACCGTTTGGGCTGTGCGTTGATTGCCAATCAGTCAGTCAGTCAGTCAGGACAAACTGTTTTATATATATAGAGAAGTAAATATGGGTAAAACTATGTTAAATGTAGAGTGTAACTGTATACATAAATGTGACTAGTGTAGTCACTGTGACACAAAAAAATGAGGCAGTTACTTCGTCATGAGAGAAACTTACAATTTTGTCGTTTCTGTGACTCGAACTTTTAAATTTGATGGTAAATCACAGCTGATTTTAATATCGACCATCTCTAGTTCATTCGCACGTGCTCTTAATTAATCTTTGAATTTTTGAACCTTAAGCGTATATAAATGTTAAGAAAACATGCAAGGCAAAGGCGGGAATATCTACGCAAGAAGTCGGTTACTGAACGCCTTAAATCATCAGAGAAACTTAAAGAAAATCTCAATGGAATTATAAAGTTTAGTAGGCCTTCTAAAGGTTTAATGCCTAGGGCCATTCATTTGTATAATACACTCAAATATGATATTCAAGGTATGTGTTAAAGTTAAAGGGTTTTTATTATTACCTGTTTTTGTGGGCTAGGGGTACTCTCTTCCAAAACCAAACAATTTTGCAGAACGCTCACGCAGCGTATTGTGACATACATATGTATGTATGTATGTATGTACTTATGTACATATGTTCATATGTACATATTGTACATACTTATTCACATCATTATCTGTCACCGCCAATATGTAAGCTTGTGCTGAAAGTAATTTCTTAAGCTTTAAAACAAGTTATTGTTCATAGTTACATACATATGTATGTACATAAATATATGATTTCTAGGAGCTGCATAATATGTGCTCAAAGTTTGAATTTGTTGCCAGTGCAATATTTGCCTACGGAGTCGGCCAAGTTTTTTTATTTTTTACATCGGAAAGAAACATTTTACGATCAATTTCATTTAAAATGATTTTAATTTGTTAATTTGCTTTATTCTTGCATGTGTTTATACACCTATTTTTTAATTCCTATTCTTTGAGTCTAGGACTCCTCTGGCATTTATCAAATTAGTAGGCACTGATATGTTATAACAAGTAAAAAAGCTAAAGTCGGGTGTCCCGACTTTGAAATACTCTGTACATATGTTTACAATAATTATAGAAAATAAAAAAATATTTGATCGATTTTACCTCTCTCGGTATTCGAACTCACGTAAAGGGTGTATAATTGCACATTTACATAGCAATTGCGTCTGTGTGAGTGTATGTATGCCTATGCGCATCTATTCGTGTCTGTGTAAGCATTTTCGCAGTCAACCAAACAGCAACATCAACAACAACCGCGGGCAGCGCTTGAGCAGCGCTGCAGCAGCAAATATATTTATGGCTATAACTTCTTGTTAAATCGGTCTATCATAATGAAATTTGGCATACGGACACATAATAACCAACTGGGGGTATTTCCAAAATTTTAGTTCGAAATTCCAAGAATTACGGGAGTTACGATTTGCGGGGTAGAGGGGGGAGGGAGGGGAATTCCAAAATATACATTTTCTGCATATTCACATAAGGCATCTGGGACTAAAATTTGGTGTTCCTAGGTCTTATAGTCTCCGAGATATAGGCGATTATACGAATGGAAAATCGGGAAAACCCCCATAGGGGGGAAGTGGGGGGGAAAATCAAAAAAATAAAACAAACTCGTATAGAATACACACATAACGCATCTTTGTGCAAAATTTGGTGTCTCTATCTCTTATAGTCTCTGAGATCCAGGTGTTCATACGGACGGACAGACGGACAGTCGGACAGACGGACAGACAGACAGACAGGGCTAGATCGTCTCGTCATGCTGATCAAGAATATATATACTTTGTGGGGTCTGCCACGCCTCCTTCTGCCTGTTACATTTTTCAGCTCCCGCAAACCTAATATACTCTTGTACATTTCATGTACAGAGTATAAAAATTTGACCATGAAACAAAATTTTAGGAATGGTGGAAGTAATCTTTTCACAATACGAGTATTTAAAGCCTGTACCCAAAGGATGAAAGGCTATACTAGTTTTGTGCTAATGTATGTAACGGCCTTTTGCCTTTTGGCAGACCCCACAAAGTATATACATATGTAATTCTTGATCAGGGTGACAAGTCGAGTCAATATAGCCATGTCCGTCTGTATGAGCGCAAGGATCTGAGAAAGTACAAGAGCTAGAATGACCAAACTTGGTATTAGGGTTCCTCTGAGCCCTAGACAGGTCAAGTTTGTTTTTATAGCCTGTACCCAAAAGGGTGAAAGGCTATACTAGTTTTGTGCGAATGTATGTAACACACAGAAGGAGGCGTGGCAGACCCCACAAAGTATAAATATTCTTGATCAGGGTGGCAAGCCGAGTAGATATAGCCATGTCCGTCCGTCCGTCTGTATGAGCGCAAGGATCTCAGAAGATACAAGAGCTAGAATAACCAAACTTGGTATCCAGATTCCCATAAGCCCTGGCCATTTTTTTTTTTTTATTCTGATACACCCCCCCACTCCCTCGCAATTCGTGTTTTTTCCATAACTCCCGTAGTTCTTAGAATTTCGTATTCGTAAATTTGGTAACTTCATCCCGTTAGTGATTACGTGTCTGTATGCCAAGTTTCATCATGATAGACCGATTTAACAAGAAGTTATAGCCATAAATATATTTGCTGCTGCAGCGCTGCTCAAGCGCTGCCCGCGGCTGTTGTTGATGCTGGTGCTTTGGTTGACTGCACACATGTTTACACAGACACGAATAGATGCGCATAGGCATACACTCACACAGACGCAATTGCTATGTAAATGTGCAATTATAAACCCATTACGTAAGTTCAAATACCGAGAGAGGTAAAATCGATAAAAAAAATTTTTTTTTTTTTCTTAATGTTTTTTATTTTCTATAATTATTGTAAACATATGTACAGAGTATTTCAAAGTCGGGACACCCGACTTTAGCTTTTTTACTTGTTTTTTTATTCTAATTCACCCCTCAAAAAAGGAAAATTAAACAAATATATATATAATAAAAAATTAAATTATTAACAAAATTAAATTATTAAAAAAAATTGAATTAATTAATAAAATTAATAAAGAACATTTACTTAATACATACATACTTGTAAAAGACATGGTTATGTGCAGTTTTAACAGAATACATTTACATCATCGTGTCTATGCGTGTATTTATGCATCACAAAGTTGAACCAAAGCAGCAACAACAAAACAAGTAAAAAAGCTAAAGTCGGGTGTCCCGACTTTGAAATACTCTGTACATATGTTTACAATAATTATAGAAAATAAAAAAAATTAAGAAAATAAAAAAAAAAATTTGATCGATTTTACCTCTCTCGGTATTCGAACTCACGTAAAGGGTGTATAATTGCACATTTACATAGCAATTGCGTCTGTGTGAGTGTATGTATGCCTATGCGCATCAATTCGTGTCTGTGTAAGCATTTTCGCAGTCAACCAAACAGCAACATCAACAACAGCCGCGGGCAGCGCTTGAGCAGCGCTGCAGCCGCGCTGCATCAGCAAATATATTTATGGCTATAACTTCTTGTTAAATCGGTCTATCATAATGAAATTTGGCATACGGACACATAATAACTAACTGGGGGTATTTCCAAAATTTTAGTTCGAAATTCCAAGAATTACGGGAGTTACGATTTGCGGGGTAGAGGGGGGAGGGAGGGGAATTCCAAAATATACATTTTCTGCGTATTCACATAAGGCATCTGGGACTAAAATTTGGTGTTCCTAGGTCTTATAGTCTCCGAGATATAGGCGATTATACAAATGGAAAATCGGGAAAACCCCCATAGGGGGGAAGTGGGGGGGAAAATCAAAAAAATAAAACAAACTCGTATAGAATACACACATAACGCATCTTCATGCAAAATTTGGTGTCTCTATCTCTTATAGTCTCTGAGATCCAGGTGTTCATACGGACGGACAGACGGACAGACGGACAGACGGACAGACAGACAGACAGGGCTAGATCGACTCGTCTCGTCATGCTGATCAAGAATATATATACTTTGTGGGGTCTGCCACGCCTCCTTCTGCCTGTTACATTTTTCAGCTCCCGCAAACCTAATATACTCTTGTACATTTCATGTACAGAGTATAAACAGCTGCGGGCAGAACTCCAGACAGCGCTTGGGCAGCGATTTTATTTATGGCTATAACTTTCTTCAGAATTTACCTATCATGACCCCCCTCTCCCACCCGACTTTTGCTTTTTTACTTGTTTGTCAGTAATATTGCGAGCGTGTGAGGAATAATGTTCGTTATTATTGGTGTTGTTTATTGCGTCTATTGCAGAGAGTGAGTCGGTGCATATGCAAAATTTGCCTCTTCTATTGTTCAGAGTTTCTACTATTGCAATGAGTTCTGCAGAAAATACAGAGGAGTAGTGGGGCAGGAGGGATTTAATTGTTTTGGTTTCATTTGTGATAACGAAGGTGGTGTTATTTTGGGATCCGTCTGTATAGATATATGTGTATTTGTTTTTGTCTTTAGTTTTTATTTTAATAAATTCAGCTCGGTATATTTGTGGGTTTGTGTGTTTTTTTTTTATTAAAGCTTCTCAGTGTTGAGTCGGTAGTTATTTGGCTTATGTTCCATAGAGGGGTAGTTTGATGAATTAGTCTTGTGTGTTGAAAAGGTAGGTTGTGGTCTTTGCTTTGTTTGATTATGTGATATATTGTTCAGTTATATTGTATACGTCTAGGTGGTCGATATGTTTTGAGTATTTGTTGGTGGGGAGTGGGGAATCTTTTGCTGCAATCAGGGATTTTATGAGTTTGGCTGTTAGGAGTTCACGTCTGTCTTCTAATGTGGAAATTCTTGCTTCATACAAGTATTGTATGTTTTGAGTGGGCGTGGTTTTGAATGCTCCAAGAGCGATTCTAAATCCTGTGTTGAGTGAAGTTTTTATGGGTCGTAAGGTTGTTTTTGACAGTGCCCATAAATGGTTAATCTGTTTTTAAGGTAAGTATTGCTTTTGTGACGTTTATTAGTGTGGGAGTGTTGCAGTTGAATTTTGAATATGCCAGACATTTTATTATATTATTTTTTTTTTGAGCACACTGAACAGTGTCTATTCTGTGTTTGTTGTTAAAGTGAACGCCTAGAATTTTTACTGATGAGACATTCTGGATTTGTATGCTTCCTGTTGTTAGGGTACATTCACAGTTGTGTTTTCTGCAGACGTGCATGTGTCTGCACATGGTGGTGGAGAGCATGGCGCCTGAATAATCGGCCCAATCTAGTATGGTTCTGAGAATTGGGTCATTGATGTTTTTTTCTATTTTTTAGTTCTATTATTATGTTAAAATCATCTGCGTAGGCGCTTAGATTAATATTTGGGTGTAGGGTGATCATTGTGGTGAGTTTGTTATAGGCTATTATGAATAGGACTACTGAGAGTGGTGAATCCTGGGGGATGCCGTTATGGAGTGGGTGGAAAGGGGAGAGGGTGTTGTTTATTCGCACTAATTTTTCTGTTTGTCATGA